GTTCTATGCCGCTGCAACGTAGATGTCATACATACTCACCTAATTGTTGTACGGCAACTTCGCTAGAGCGGTCTGAGTCACCGGCGACGGCTGAACCACCGAGGCGGTTCAGATCTCGCGAATCGTCTCCGCCGAGTTGCCGAGTGGTAACGATCGACTGTGAACTCGGCCTACACGGATACGGTGCCGAGCCCTAGCGCCGCAGGCCTTCAAGCAGTCGTGGGTCTTTACTTATAAACAGAAGTGTTCGACAAAAATATCCCACTTTACCGGACTTCTAAGAAAATAGAATAAAAAGAATTCAATTGAGGAAATAAAAAGGGTAAGAAAAAGACTGCAGAGTCGCCGGTGTAGTGTCACGTATGGCTCTAGTCACGGTGCCGCTGGGCTCGCCAATCTTCCGGGCCGTCATGCGTCACGCGTCACTCACCGAACTTAGCTTCAACTCCGGACAGCTGGCTACTGTATCACTCTTACACACCTTGTACAAACCTTTCAGCCCGTTTTGTCTCTCGAACCGAGCCAAGGTACGCATATTTTTGGCGAATCTGTAAACACATTTAGCGGTCAATGCAATTTCTGCTTGAAACATTATGCGGATCTTCCTGAAAGACGTGGCGTCAAAGACGCGTCTAATTTACGGCATATCTTCTCATCGCAGCACCATTATTACGATGTTTGCTTTACAGAAGAAGTCCGGAAAGATGCACGTTTACGGGAGATGGAAGGAAAAGGCAATTTGACGTGGGATAGGCGAAGGTCAGCCAAGAACCGCTCTTTAGGTATAAAAGGTGCACATTTTTTCAATTCTTTCCGACTAGTAAATGTCCTTATCTCGTATGATTTTAATGAAGAAAGCTTCTCGCTGTATATCAGTCATATTGGCCTTGGTTGGCGTGACTGGCGCCATCCAACTGCCTCCACAAACTGTGGTAAGTGCCCATTAAATATCGAAGTTCGTGCTAGAAAGCTTGAACAAAATTCTCCCATATAGTTTATGAATGTACCTGAGTTTGCCGTCCTTGGAGATAATGGGACATTCAGGACTTCTGCGACCCCATTCAACCCGCAAAATCTCACACCACCTTTCTTCCAAGTTTGGGATCTGCGGTTCTTGGATATTCTGGGACCAAAACCCCGTGTGCGTATCATCGCTGAGCGTGATGACTTTGAATTTGCGCATGAGGTAGGTTTTATTTGGGCCAACGTAAAATACTTGCTGAGGTATTTTATTTTAGGCACCAATCTGGGATCCTATCCAAGACCAGGTCTTTTTCGCTAGTGCGAATATAGGGGTGTGTTATTCTCTTCTTTTGAATCCGCTACTTTTCGATGCTGGAATAGCCTCCTCTGGGAAATGTTGACTTCAATCATAACAATGATATCTTTGTGATACAACTCAAGGACGTGAAGGATATTCCGGGTCCACAAAATATTACTTGGACCAAGGTAGGCAACGCAGTAATTGGTTATGTCACAGCATGTTAATTGGTCAGCCCCAACTATACTGTAGGTTCCAATCACTCCCGATATCCAGGTTGTAAATGGCGGCACGCCAATGGGACACAATCTTCTCTTCGTAATGAATGGAAGAGCCAATATCCCACCAGGAGTCGCTATTGTCAATCCCAGACCGCCATTCAACTCTACGACGCTTTTGGATAATTTCCATGGCCGTCAATTTAACTCCCTTGATGATGTGAGAGTCCACCCGAAAAGTGGTGCAATATTCTTTACCGACTCGTCGTAAGCGACGATTTAGACGATGAAAGTATCCTAATTATTAAACCTTCTGCTGCCAGATATGGATTCATAGGTGGATTCAGGCCTCCTCCACTGGTGAGTAAACTGCTATCGTAAATCTAGGATAGCTAATTCTATTTCGCATTAGCTTCCCAATCAAGTTTATCGGTTCGATCCAAAGACAAGCGAAGTTCATTTGGTCGCCGATGGATTCCAAATATCAAACGGCATTACCTTTTCACCAGATGGAAACATTGCATACGTGTATGCTAGTTGCTGTCTGAAGCTCATAACGCGACAATTTAGATACACTATTTAGATCAGATACGGGGTCTTGTTGCTCCGCAATAGGATTCAACTCTACCCAAGCGGCAACCATGTACGTGGGCTGATTTGTGCGATGTGTAGTATTGACGGTGTTTTGAAACGCAGATATGCCTTTGATGTCGATCCCACAACGCAGCGCTTCCTGAACCGCAGGGTGTTCCTATGGAGCGACTCAGGTATTCCTGACGGATTTCAAACGGATTCTAAGGGAAATTTGTACGCTTCCACAGCAGATGGCGTTCAGGTGGGTCAAAAATATTCTACATTGGACATGAAACTGACGGCCCAAATAGGTATACGATCCCACTGGTGTCCTTCTTGGCAAGATATTTGTGGGCAGCAATTCCGCAAATAATGTATTTGCTGGAAAGGGACGAATGGTCGTTATGGCTGAGACGAAACTCCTTCTCGTGGAGTTCGAAGCGGAAGGATCTCTTGTTGATCTGGAATAGGACTATGGCATATGACTATCAAAAGGGCAATGTGTAAGCACGAGATACGAGGAACATTTATTTTTTCAATGCCAGATATTCTGTCATTTTCTCGACTGGAGCCTTTACATGGAAGGTGTCGAAACCGCTTTTTGTAGCGAAAATCATTCTAGGCTCGTTGTGTACTTGACAGGTAAAAACTCTATATGACTAAAGGAAGAAACAACCCTGGAAGTGATTCATCCGACGATTATCACAGCTTCGCAAGATTTTCTGCTTTTACTTTTCTCCTATCATGATGGTCTCCTAAATACCACACCATAGCATCCTTCAGGTCTCCAAACCATTCTTTCACTACCTCCTCATCATACGTGCTTACATCCACGAGAACGATTAGTTGCAGTTCATCCTCAAATGTCAGCGAGGAGACATAGAACTGTCGCGGAGGACATCGAATATAAATCCTCACGCCTTTCAACTCAAGACGCGGCGTAATAGGAGAATCCAAGTCACTTCGCGGGATTGGATATTTGGAAGGTAGAATACCATTCATCTAAAGGTGAAGAATTCACATGAATTTAAAGTGACGTAGGCGGAGTGTACTGTAGCGCACTTACACTTCCTAAGGTTGAGCAGGAATTGGCGAAAGTGGCAGGCCAATTAACTTCAGGGACCAGAGAAAGCACTGGCGAAGGATTTAATGAAGCCTTCCATCGTAAAGAAAATGCCTTGTATCTCTCCTCCATGAATTCATGGATGACCTCTGAGAATTCCACGACCAGGGGATGTTTGGTCATGAGATCACCTTGTCTTTTGGCGAACAGGCAGCGACGTAGGAAATTTTCCTTCGATAACAATTGTTCAAATGATGGGTTAAAGGGTATTTCAGAACGTTCCTTTACTGGCATAACAGGCATCGCGGGGAGCGTTATTGCGTCACTTGCGGCAATCGCTAGGCATCCCCGTGCACCTCCTTCCAGCCAGCGTGGATCAATGTGTGGCCGCAGGTTAACTGGCCCTCCAAAATGCATGGGTTCCCGAATTTTGACTTCCCATTCCTTCTCTGATATAAGGCCTTTGGCGTATAAGCGATGTGCCACTCGAGAATGGGCTACTTGGCAAAGGGCGCGAGTTGCGTGACCCAAGGTTATTCCGGCTCTCCTACAGGAATCCAGGATACGTTTTGTGGTGTCTTCATCGAATTTAAATGTGAATGAGCGTGATGCTTGTGGGAAATGAGGATCGTGTCGGAGTGGATTTTCAGGTAGGGTATGTCCACCCTATGGAAACGTCAGTCGCTGCAAGGAATGAGTATATATTTAAATTCACCGTCCAAGTAGAAGCTCGCCGAAGTCGTATAACCTTTGCGATGGCCCGGCGCCATCGAAGTCGTGGAACGGAATCACGGCGTGAATTCAAATCTTCAAGAGAGATATGCAGGTTCAGATAATCTTCGAATGTTCCTTCATATTGATATTTCGGATGCAGCTCAGAAGAGCAGAGAATGTCGAAAAATATTCTGGCTTGATGGAAAATGGCCATACCATCCATTATTGAATGTTGCATGTAAAAGGATAGGTGCCATGTGCACAGATCATTCAATATAGGGCCATCGTCTTCAACCGATATAACCCATAATTGACCGAGTAGGTCGAGCGATAAGGTCGGTTCGTCATTGACCGAAGCTGTCATTAACTCGAAGGCTTCATCGTTTGACTGAACACTCTTGTAGAGGATCTCATTCGAAGCAGCGATGTTGATCCTATCCTCGCTAACGACAAAGTCAAATCCAGTTTCGTCTGCTCTCTCCGATATTCGAGCACTGATTAACGGATGTAGCTTCTTCAAAGCTATCCAGGCTCTTGTAACGTTTTCTTTCGAAAACAATGCATGAGACTCTGAGCAAGAAGCGACAACCATAAATTGTAGTGCGTCTAGAAAAGAATGTTGCTGTGTTAGACCGTCATTACTATTTTACACGCCTTCGATGGATGCTCACTTACTTTCAGCAAGCCCGCGCGCAATACTTCCATATGCGTAAGCTGTTTCTAGAGTTCCCAAAGGGCGGACATATGTGTTCTTTTCGTCGGGAACGCGTTTCCATGTAGTCAACATGGTGGAAAAACGGAGGTTGCAGTTATCAGGGGGTCCCGAACCCAATATTGTTCCCACTAGAAGCCCAGGTTGCGCGGCTAACATGTTCGGCTGAGAAACAGGTCCCGGTCGTGGCCTAGTACCATATTGGTCAGCCAAAATCTCAAAATGCCGATAACGGCAGCAGTGACCCTGTCACCCTCAAATTGGAAAGCTGTATACTTCATAGAGCTATTCAAATAATTAGGAATCATGCAAGCAGGGAACCCTCGTGAAATCCTACCCTCTATTACGTGTCATTGCTAGTTCATGTATAGCAATCTACCATGGGCGTCAGACTAGAGAATCACCATACAACCTTTATTTTCAAAAAAGTTAAAACCTTCCTTTTGTTCGGTTCAAAACAAGCCACTATGAGATTTGAACTTCCGGTCTTCGCATTGTAAGTCGAACCTACAAGTGCGACGCTGTGCCCCTTAGCCAAGCAACTAGCTACTCTTGGCGTCTTCCGTTGGATCCCTGATATCATATTCAATTCTAATAGAACTCTAAGACCCGACCAAGAACTCCGAAGCTGACTAAATTTGATTTACGCCAGTTTCGCATGATTAGCAGCATGAGCACACGGCCCCGAGACTACTCGGGTCCTTTCTAACTTGGACTGAAAGTACAGAACGTTCAACGTGGAAGTCAACAATAGCTAAGTTTCCGGTGACTGTATAAGCATGGATAAAGTTAAAATTTAATCGCAGCGTACCTCTAAGGAGCTCATGAAAAACTTCTTCAATGTTAGCGGACGTGCAGGCGGATGTCTCCATGAACGTTAAGTGATTTTCGTCTATGTTTCATTTAGTTTCATTCAAATCAAAATTATTTCATAACGATCACCTGCAAAGACTTTGGCTTCTTCCATAGAAACCGTCCTCGAATCATTGAGATCGACTTTGTTCCCTACTAAGATTATTTTCATGTGTTCATAGCCGAGGTCTCGAAGTTCCTGTATCCATCGTTTTACCCCTATATAGCTTTCCCGATCCGTCACATCATAGACCACGAGTGCTCCGGATGCTCCACGAAAGTATCTGAAAGTAAATGTAAATGTAAGCAATTTGATGAAATGTTGATAAACATGAACGCACGCTGATGCAAGCTTACGGTATTTGGCATCACCAGCTGCCACATATTCATTGAGATTTCTTTCAAAAATTTCCACCACAACTTACAAGCTGACCAAAACTGATTTTTAGTTCTCTTTCCGTTGATCACGACTGACTTGACGCAGATATCCACTCCAATAGTTGACAATTCCCCGTTGGTGAACTCATCATGAACAAAGCGCTTGATTACTGGTAAACGACGATTTATTCAGGCGAGAAGAAGCTTGGAAGAATATGCATCACACGAACTGCTTGTCTTTCCAACGCCTTTGTCGCCAACAATTACTAGCTATTTGACTAGTCAGTGACAAGGATGGACCGGCATATGGAAAGAGGATACCTTTATCAAATAATCTGTTTCAGTCATTATCTCTGGGTGAGGGATGTGGTGGAGAAAGAGAAGATGACTTGTGGCAGTTCCCAGAGAACTCCTAATTTATTTTTAGACCCTGCTATCATTGTCTGTGATTCCTTGACAGTCCTGATTATACCGGCAAGCCCGCCAAACAAACCTGTCCAAATAGCACCGCTACGTGTATTGATCATCGCGGATCCGTGCTCTGATACCGAGTAGCAGAGAAATACTTACATGTGCCGCAAGAGTCTCAAAGTCCAAAGTCAACAACGACACTTTCCTCGAGTAATTTGCAGAAGGACACTATCAATGCATATACTTAAACCAACTATAGACAAGGGAGTAAATGAATGGATATATGTTACAGGCGTACATTTATTATGAAGGCAGCTTTGTTCGTATAGAGAAGGGTCAAAAATAAAAGTATTGAAGGAGTGAATATGGTATAGGGAAGCTGGGGGATATCCAGTAGTTCATTTCTACAGACTCCAGGAATAGAGGCTATATGGCTTACTATCAGATTCAAAAGTCTGAAAGCCACAAAAAGAGTACTGTATACCGTTAAATGCCGACGAACGTACGGCATATTTGAATTATTGAGAGTTTTTGACCCTTTGAGTTAGGTTGTATGTACGTTGTCCCATAAAACCCGAGGAACAGGTAGAGGTAGAATGCCAAGAGGAACATTCCTAACGCCGCAACTGGTTTTGATGTCGTACAATGGCCGTTGTTGGGAATAAAGGGCGCATATGTAGCCAGGAAATGATGAAATGCTGAAAGATGCTTTCAATTCGGTGTCATATTTCCCGCAAAGTGTATAAAGTACCTGCATAGGAGATCGCAAGGCCATCTATCACAAATTGGGTGATCTGCATTGTGGTGATATATTTCTTCCACTAAAGGACAATTAGACATGCACAAACGTCGCAAAATGAAAGACATACCCATATCTTCTTTCTTGCAGCAGCAGCATAATAATAGTAATCTGTGAAAACGTCAGTGGGACATAACGACAAGGGGTAAGGGGGCGATAAGAAATAAATTTACACATAAACACATGAACCGTAAGGTTAAGTAACATTATGAACCAGGACTGAATCAGGTTAGCGGAGAATTGAAAGCAGCCACGATAACTTACCATGCTAGGCTTTCCTAGAAACGTTGTAAAAGCCAATACCGCTGTAGCTGCATGGTGAAATACGTGGAGGAAGGCTAATCTAAATTAGCATGCTGGAGCCTAAGATATACGTAAATCTTACTAAGAGGTTTCTTTTTTAGAACTAAAAAGACTGTATCCAACAGTTCGACGTATTTGATATAGTAGTTGACCAAATAATATGTTTCCAGTGTCTGAATCATAAAAGCAAAATCGTCAGTAAGCGGCATATGGAATTAGAGAAAGAGCCATTTACAGGAGTCCATGCTTCAGGAGAGCAAATCCCATAATGAAAACCATGCTTCGAGACCATCGGGACTACCTCTTCCAGGGTGAGAGCGAGTAATATCAGGCTACCGGCAGATAGCATTGAATTATGAATCTGAGATAGTCCCCTTATCTCGAAGGGCTTGCGGGTTTGCATGTACTCTTGAATGCCGAAAATTAGAAGAAGATACCCAGCTATGGCAAAGACTACGGGTGGCCATGTCGATAGAGGAGTCTTTCCGGGAAGGAATCGAATTAGATGATATGGCACCCCACTGCTGAGATTTTGCTGAAGCAGCCCAGTGAGGGACATGGTCGACATCGTTGACACGGAGGCAGGGGAAGGCGCTGCGATTTGGGTACATAAGTTATGCTTGTGGAGCATTTTAAATGTGAGTACGAGGGGTCAATTAAATGGCATATCATGAATAGGGAATACGACTGTCAAAGAACTGCTTGCCAGCAAAGCCCCCTTGGGTCTAAAATTGCATTAAGATTAGTCTAGAAATTGAACAGACCCAGATACGCCATTGATTCATCCTCCCAATGTTTGAATAGATACAATGCGCCGTCTATAGTTGATTGGCCTTTCTTCAGCCTAATCCGGCGTCTGAGAGACGAATTGAGTTAGATGATTTGGCAGTTACACCTTCAAGTTGTAAAAGGAGATTAGGGCGAGAAAATCGAAAACGCAGGACTTCTACCTTGGATATAAATTGAAGACTTGCGGTGTAAAGCAAATGAAGACTAACAGATGCGCAGATGCATCGTATTGACAAGACGAACCTGTGAGCCATTATGTAGTACAACCCAGTCCCTCGCCAGTGATTGGTCTAGCTCAATTCAGACAACTTCTCCAACCTTCTCCAATACAGTGAGAATATCTATCGGAATATAAAGCGTACCGTGTTTGAGTAATTTAATTATAAAAGACGTTATGAATAAACACACCGTCCGGACCGATTACTTACGCCTTATACAAGAGACTTAGCCACTCAGGCTTCCAGAAGAGTGGTTAAGACATGCTCTAGTCTACTAGAATATCTGTCAATGTCAATACATATATACGCCGTGGATGAATACCATTAAGAAACGGAAAAATGGTAGGCGCACTCACCCTGAGTCTGAATATTCTGACTGGCGACAGATGATCCGGATAACGAAATGACTGCTATCTCGCCAAGGTCTGCAGGAATGTTCATAATCAAGCTAACTGATTCATCCTAGCTGACCTATATATATGGTACAATTGTCAGTTTTCCTCCAACGATGAGAACTTCTGAAAGAGGATGGGGTTTGCCCGGTTCTCACGGGGAGTAGGTTTTGCGTCATATGACGGCAAGTTGGAGCTCCGCTTCGATTCCGCCTTTCCTGCTTCCACTATACACAACATAGCACAACGCTAGTGTCAACGCTACTCGAATGCCCTACATCGATTCGTGTTATCTGCACCTTCGGCTGTCAAAATTGTATACTTCACTTAAATGGAATTCTTTCAGATGGCCCAGCCTAAGATATGGACAACAACTAGTGTAAATATACTTAGTCATCCCCTAGTGCTCTTTTTATTAATTTATTGAACATAGTCATATTCATCGCGTCAGCTTCCGTTTTTTACTGGCATGCATCATTTGAATACACAACTCGAATTATTAATATCCGCATCAGTTTCAACACGACTAGCTTGAATGGGACGAGGGCCTCTGGCGTTATCTAGCGTGACAGATTCAATGATTCAGATTCCGATTCTCAATATCTAGAAAGCTCTTAATACAGTCTGGTATCCATATCACACTCGACGGTTGAAAGGCCACTTATTCCCTCAAAATTGCAGACCTTGATCCTGGTCGTCTCTGTATTCTGAGCCGATATATCCAGCCAGTGCGTGGTCGACCTGAATAGCTAATAACTCTTTTTAGTTTTGGATTCTTCTTTTTCCTTTTGTTTTTGGATCTCACCCCTCCCGCTCAGGATGTCGCTTGCAAAAAATCTACTTGGACCATTCCTAGCGCACGACATTCCCAACTTCGTGACGCGCTTTGATCGTGGCGAACTGCCTCTTTCGACACCATTGGCCCTCATAGAAAGTCTCACAGCTTATTTCGCTGCTATATATGGCATTGAATCTTTCATGCGACCAAGGAAAGCCTTTCGTCTCAAGAATATTACTCGAATCTACAACGCGGCCTTAAGTTTCGGTAGCCTGGTTCTCTTGCTTCTTATTTTGGAAGAGGCCATTCCGAATGTATTACAGCATGGATTCTACTATGGAGTATGTTCTGCGAATATTTCGACACCTGTGAGTTCACACCCGTTCGTTGACAATCTCGTTCTGATTTATATGTCGAAGAGATTAAAATTTTATTATGTAATTGTCTACTATTCTAAGATTATTGAATTTGCGGATACGGTGCTTTTGGCTCTAAAGAAAAAGCCTCTCAGTACGCTCAAGTTCCTTCGATCGAATAATATTCATCTCACTACTCCCAGCTTTCCTCCATTTATTTCACCATTCTATGACCTATGTGTTCTTTTTTACCCTCCTTATTGGTACTAATGCTCCGGTTAGTGTCCGTAAAGATTCTCTCCCTTTGAATTTGCTTAGCTCGTTCCTTTTAGACATGGCTACCAACAAGTCTCAACCTCACCGTCCACGTTTTCCTGTGTATGTCAGGAGAAAATACTCTTTATCTTGTCTAACGTTGAAACAGATTATTACTACTTTGCTGCTACTACGAGGAAGAAAATTTGGGTATGCCTCCAGCTCTTCGCATCCGAATTTCCCACTAACAATTCCGCAGTGGAAGAAGTATGTCACCACGATCGAGATTATACAATTTATCATCAGTGCATTCGTGTACATATTCATAGGTTGGTATCCAAATACTTTACCTTGCATGCCGGTGACCTCAACATATGTTTCAGGATGGAACCATCACCTACCTATGATCTTTGCCAACATTCCCAGCTTGGGAAAGTGCGCAGTGGCACTCCACATACAATGGATGGCTCCGATACTGACAGTATTTCTTCTTGGGCTCTTCATAGACTTCTATATCAAAATTTACTTAACGCCACGTGCAAAATCAACAACAGCTCAACAATAGCTGTCTATTATTACTCTAGAGTCTTGTCGCAACAATATTTCTTCGATTAGGAATATGTGTTCTAAAGTTGTTCTTTCCCTATGGATTTAATAATAATAATAATCAAGCTGTTCGCATCCTTCATCCTTGGCGGCATCTGAGACAGTCATCATTCCTGTACTTAACGGTATCCCTACTACAATGTTGTGAAGGCTCAAATCATACGAAGGGAAGTTTAAGTGAAGGCGCCCTTCTTTCTGCTCGCCAGTCCTTGTTTCTCTCTCTCTAATCATAAGTGTTGCGAATGGGTGGCGTTCATTCAAGTTCTACGTCACGAGGCTGTGACGTGGCATTCCCCTCACGCTTGCTTCTGACTTCTGCACTCAATAGTCCACGTAGTCCAGCCTTGTTTCTCTCTCTCTAATAATAAGGGCCTATCAAGACTATAATATTATGGAAGCACTACGGGGCCGCGGGAATACATTAAATGTTGGGTACTATCGGATGATGTAGCCAAGTGGTTATGGGGATTGATTAGATATCAACTCCTCTTTGGGGGGGTAGGTTTGAATCCTGCCATCGTTGTATTTTTCTTGGCGGTGAGGAGTCATTGAGCGCTTAGGCAGCTTAGGGCCCACCCATACAATAAGCTTTCAGTCCTTGAGATGGAGCTCAATTGTTTTTATCTTGTTTCAGTATGGTGAATTCAACTTGACTTACACGTACAATAGATCTGTCAGCGCCGGGGGCAGAAATGGAGTCAGATTTTTAGGTCTAAGTACTTAAGGGATCAGTGCTAACAAAAGTTACATGTTTTGGTGGAAGGCACCGTCAAGAATATCACAGGCCTGAGGCCAACAAACAAGAGAATCTGGCTGAGTATCAGACACAAGTCCTCTAGGTCTGCCAGAGAATTTTTCTGGAAAACTTTAGTTGGAGTGTACTACCTCGGGGACATATGGATACACATGCAAAACTGAATGGACCGTGTGATCTGTGCGGAATACAACGAAATCAAATCCATGAACCACGTGCTAACTGAGTGCATGACCTCAGGACAGCATGAGATATGGGAATTAACCAAGAACCTGTGGATACAAACAGGGGAGGAGTGGTCTGAACTCACCTATGGTACCATCCTAGGCTGTAATATAATAAATTTCACTGATGAAAAAGGCAAACCAAATGTAGAGCTTAAACGATTCTTTGTCATCATCGTTTCAGAAGCAGCCTTTCTAATATGGAAGATATGCTGCGAATGGAGAATCACCCGCGAAGGTCAATGGGACGAGAACACTCACCTCAAGAAATAAAGAATCACTGACAAAAGATCATAGCATAGCGAATCCATGCTGACATTCTATTCACAAATAAAAAGTGACAAGGAAAGAAGGCCGTCCCGCTCAACACCGCTCAACACACCTGGAAAAGTGTATTTGGAAATACAGACTTTGTGAACCTGTGACCCAGTGAAATTAACGAGTTTTTAGTGGGTACTGACTCAGGACACTCCCCCGGACGTTGTCAGAGCCCCACACTACTGGCATAGCCGGTATGCAGAGGTATCTCAAAAGTGCATTTTCTTGAGTGGCATTGAGAAGTCACAGCACATACTGTATACAGTCAAGGCATGGTCCTGTCCCAGGCCCACTCCTTGTCCCGGGGTATCCTAGAGCCTCATTCTCCATATTTTATGTCAATTTTTTTATCTGAATAATATGATCATAATCTATACTATAATATGAAAAAAGAAGAGGGGCAATTGAGCTACTGCTGCCTACGATATAACACATAATCTGGGAAATTATGAGTATATTCCGGGCAAACCAAAATATTTTGACTCTTTGGTCTCATTAAATCACTCAAACACTTTCAATGTATCTTACGCAATAAGTCTATAATGCTGTAAATGGAAGATCCGGCCAATAAAATATAACATTGAATGGTATTCAAGTGTGGGATGATCAATTTCCGATGGTAGGTGATGAGAGTGTGACACTACCATACAACGTGCATACATGCACACATACTACAGTGTTATAATTCTATGTATATTGACGATATTATTTGATATAATATGTCATATATGATTAATTGGTAATTTAATTAGGGCTACTAATGTATATTAAAGACAAGGATATGCCAATTGGGTGTTGGGACAAGGAGCGGTTTGTGTCACATTTTGTGACAGCAACTCTCTCCCAAGCCAGCACCTCCAAACACTGGTGAAATCATCCAATTTTTTATGTAACATGCTTTGATATGTACAGTATCCGAATATCAAAACATATCATTGAAGGCTTTCGAAGAAAATATTTGAGAGCCCGATTTTATAGTGTTGGGACAAGGATCATGCCTTGACTGTACCAAATTATAATTATACTTTCCTTTCCCTTTCTCTATATTTCCCCTTTCTCTATAAAAACAAAAAAAACGGCACGAGCCAACGAATAAGCCTGATACTAGAAGGTGATTATATTGCTAACTTGTATCTACAATGCTCCATAAATTTTTATCTTTTTAAAAATAAAGAAAACTCATACGCATCACCAGAAAACGGCGGGCTCCTTATGGTAAACTCCCAGAGAGTGGGGAAATGGATGAGCAGTTAGCAAAAGGGACAACTATGGCAGAATTTGAACCAACTATACGCCCTCAAAGAGGAATTGATTTCTAATCAATCGCCGTAACCTCTTGGCTGCATCGTCTTGATATTAATGTTCCATGTTACAATCCTCCAATTCTCCAGTAGATCAAAAGTATGGATGATGCTTGCATTTCTTCTAAGTACCCTGTCCGCTTTCGAGTTATTCGCTATCCTTTTTCTTCCATGGTAAACCAATCATCTCTTTCTAACCTAATTCTCTGAAAGAGGTAATTTGCCTCATATTTATCAGCCCTCTCAAATCAATGATATACAGTTGAATTTCTCATAATGCATATCGCTGGGAGCGGCTATTTTCTATGCAATATTAGATATATGCATTAATGAAAAAGCGTGACATATAGTCACACACGTGACTAGCGTTACATTTCCTTTCTCAGCCTGCCGTCCAGACTCATTTGCTTTGCTCCCTTCATCTCCGTTCTCCTCAAATGAATATGGAACTGCCGCAACTGCCTCGTTAAGTCAAGTGCATTCTCCTGGGGTGCATACTGGATGGAGTAGCGCTCCAGAGATTCACAAAGCTTGATAACATCTGACACGCTCATCACAGGTGCTGTAGTTTCATCATCCTCGTCCTCTGAGTCTTCCACCTCAATGACCTCTCCACGTTTGACAGCCATCTCATACTTAACCTTCTCAACAATCTGTTCAATAATCTCGTCCTGCCCTCCCTTGAAAGTGTACTGTGATTCCCCGATCTCTTGCTCCTCCAATGGGTTCAGGAGGTCTCACAAGGTAAGTGGTGCTCCAATGATCCTTTTGTGTCTTTTGAGCTCATCTACACAGTCTTGCAGCTCATTTTCGACGATTTGAAGTGAAGTAGGGTGCACAGGGAGTGGAATCTCTTGTTGGATGGATGTGGTGACGTTAACGGTCATAATGAGGGCTTGGGCTAATGGCAGACCGAAAATCTTGTTGGTGAATGCATCCAAAGCTTTAACGGCCTCTTCTGAATTGTTCTCTGTGCACATTACAGCATGATACGCATCCACCCAATCTCCATGGTTGTAACGGCTCCCAAGACAGGCCTGAAGTTTGGCTTCAGCTTCCGGGAGCCCCATTTCGGTTGTAGCAAAATCTTGGAGAATCTTCCAGGTGCTGAGATCTTTCACAGTAGGTATAATTTCGAAATTGGAAAGAGAATTTGACGGAGTGGTAACTGCCAGGATTGGATTTTCAGTTGGTAGAATGAGTGTATGTTTCCGGCAATGGGCTATGGTATCTGTTGTAACATGCTCCCAAGCTTCTTCTACCAATATCATTGCTTCCCGGATATTTATCTTGTAGATGTCTCTTTCATCTGCTTCTTCAAGTTGTAAGGCACACATGCAATAAGCCTTTCGGTAATGGGCCTTGAGACACCGTATGATTCCAGCGTCACATGGTTGCACAAAAGGAGTCATGTTGGGCTCAAAAAACTCTAACCTGATATTCCGTGGCTCATAGTTAATGTAATGACCAAAAAATTATCCATAAGAAAGAGAATCTGATGGCCTACTGTTCACATTTTGATGTCAAGCCGCTTGATGTAACTGCAAAGAGAATGAGTACATGTTCTGTGAGCTGAGAGTTCTACCCGCTCTTCAAATATTTCCTTGGTCATCCAAGCTTTAGTATTGTTGTAGTATTGATATCCATAATTATTTGGGCTCTTCCCACTGAAGCACCGAGGCTTCGCAGATTTGCCGATGAAGCAAAGTGGCAGTTTCTTGCTGCCATCTGCATTGCAGGCAACACTGATTGTGATGCAGAACTTCTCAGTCTTCTTTCCTTTCATTTGCTGAGTAGCAAGTCCTCGATCAGGTGGTGCACTGTCAAAAATAAACAGCAATGGGAAGAATAAACTGTAAAATATTGTGCTTACAAAGGAAAAAAGCCCGTTTCGTCGAAGTTAAAAATGTCCTTCAATGGATACTTCACTAAAAGCACTTGGAGACAAACATGTTCAACCTTTACAGCATCCAGATTAACAGAGGCTGCCTCTCCATGCCTGCGATATTCCTTGATTTTGTAAGCTCTGCAAAAAGGTGGGATCCATCCATTACCAGAAAGCCTTTCATCCATTGGCACATTGAATTTCTCTTCGAAGATATTGTGTTTGCCCATCAACATTGCACTGTTGACAGTCTCTCCCTTGGCTTCCATGGATAGGACCCATAAATGGAGGCTTCTGTCTACACCAGGTCGAGTGACGGACACTTTGATGAAAGTGCATTTGGATTTGAATGTTGACAAGAATTTTCAAGTTCATCACATTTGGCTAATTTCCTTGACAGCATGGGTTGTGTAAAGATGAGGGCTCCATCTGCCTTTGTAGCAAAATGCCGGACAATTTCTTCTTGCTTGACATCGGGATGCTCATTGACCCAAGCAAACACAGTCAGCCAGTCATGAAGAGTTAAGTTTTCCCGTCAATTTCATTTAGGTTGAATTGCAGAGGTTTTAGGGACATCCTTCTTGGATGGTTGTCCAGGCTTTTTAGTACAATTGTAAGGCGCATGAGATGGTCGAACTTTGCGCTTCCTTTCCTTGCTGACAGGAGGCATTGTCAGAAGCAGGACAAGGGTGTCCAAGATGGTATTCTCGCTTAAATAAATCTCCATTAAGCACTAAAAACTGATGATTATCGAAAAATCAATGATCCGAGATGAACTCAATCAGATTTCTGAGCGTTTCTAGTCATTTCTAGTCTGGATATTCGGCAATTTAGCTTAATACCCGGTATCTGATAATGCATAAAGTGACCCTAGATGCTATGCATTATGCAATATGCAATGTGCCCTAGAGACATCTGCGGGAGCAGCCCAAATCCCATGCAATATGAGATTTATGCATTATGATATTATGCATTATGAGAAATTCAACTGTACTACAATGATTACGAATAGCCAAATAACAGATAGTGTCGGATACAGTT